ACCTGTTTTTGTACATTATAACAAGTCAATAAATGACAAACAATGATACTTGATACAATCAAGGCGAAACAATGAATATCTACCCTTACCCTTAAGACGCGCATTAAACATTATTTTTGCACACATTTCACTTCAGGTAATCGAATGACTTACAGCAATGATCATTTGGGGCCATAAAGCCATCCAACAAAAAATTAAGGATAACCAAAAAATGTAGAGGCTTGCTGGATATTTTTAAACAATAAATAAGAAGTTCCTTCGATGTATGAACTATCGTTATTAAAATAGTAGCCTAAACTTAAAAGGCCAGAAATAAAACTATTAACCAAGCAATTCTATTTAAACATAAACTGCCTTGCTATTCCAACAGCTAAGAAATTAAAAATACAGATACATTTTGACAATGGATAAAAAACTTTTATTATGTTCTTTGAATATAATTTTAGTAAATTTGTATCGGCAGATAAAGCGAATTGAGGTATGAACCAAATTTAATGAAATGGAGGTGGGATTAATAGGTAAAATGATAGTTTAAAGCTGTTATAGTTCGCATAACTCTGTAATACAAGGTTAGCAGATATTTGGTATGTTTTATTGCTGACATTCTTACCAGCCATAAGTCCAGAAACACTATCGATCCAGTCTAAATGAAGCTTTTTCTCCCAACGTTGGACCTTGGTCCCTCGTGCCTTATCGGCCATATGTTGAAAAAGAGACCAAGGCTTTTCAAAAAGTAGGACGCAGGATTTGCACCAATACATTTGACCTGGTTCCAATGCCGCCTTGGACTTCACCGACTTCACATGCTCTCCTTCTTTTTCGAGAAAGCACTCCAAATAATGATCTCGAAGGATTGTGCAATAGCTTTCATTTCCATGACGCTCCAAAACTCTTTTACAAGAACCTTAAAAATATAAAAGCGAATTAAAAGTAAATTAAAAACGATTTTAGCTCAGATTTGCTTATCCTTACCACAAAAAATTTCAGTCTCTGCTTGAACTTCGTTTTGATCTATCTGTAGGCTGTTCATTTCTGAGATAATCTGAATAGAAACATCACAAGGGGGTCCGGAGTTAAGTGCCTCACCAATTGACTCTCGACTCAGATTATTTCTATGAGTCATTAGGTGGTCCTTCTTGCAATGGTCTAATAGCTCTGACTCATTATTCAAACCCTCACAAATTAGGTCTTCGGAGTCATATTGGATGCGTTCACTGTTGGCGCCCATCTTATCAGGCACAGAACTACTTTTTACAACGCCATTATTGATTATATTTTGTCCAGCGAGAGTCATGTTATTATTATTAGTTCCCGATAACTCGCTTGGGTCAAGGTTTTCTTTGTAGAGCTGCTATAAATATAATATACTCATAATCATAGATTATCAGGAGAATCTTATGCCTCAAAATTGGTTGAAAGATTAATAATAAATTCATATATATATATATATATAGCAACAAAAATATGGACACATTACTTCTTTTCTACTTTCTATACACGTGTCCCCATAGTTTTCCACTGACTTAAATGGCGCTCTGTCGTGTGAAAAATGGCAGTTTTCTCCAAAACGGCAGCCCGTCGATGATCTTATGTAAAGAATGAACCTTTAATTACCCGTAAAATTTGCACGGCGGTTTTTTGTCTGGTATATGGAGGAATTTACATGCATCGCCGAACCAACAACCGCCTAGAGTGTTAAAATATCTGCAAATTTTCTTTTCAGGGTCACTCATCTTAACGGGATAACCCAAGTAGCATTGGTAGATCTTCTAGCAAAGGGT